ACACACGGCGCACGTGAAGCATCTGGTGCGCCAAGCGTGCCTGGCACGCTTGGGCCCCAGGAGGGCGGGTGGGGAGTGAGCGGGACGACTTGCGGGCGGGGAGGGTGTCTTGACCCCTCCCGCTACCCCCTCTCCTAGACCTGGAGGGGGCGCCCCGCAAGGTGGCAGAGCGTTCAAGAAGGCCTCAGCGAAAAGCGCAATTCATGAAGTGTCCGCGGGTGTTGGGCCAACCTTGGCCCCCTTGAAGGGGGGAGCTGACCGAGTACCCCCCCTTTTTTGAACAAACTCCTCCAAGACGGCCCCAAGATGGCGCCCAAGGCTCCCAAGAGTGTCCCAAGGGGCGCCCAGGAGGCCCCAAGAGGCCCCCAGAAGGTCCCCGAGAAGCTCCCAAGAGACCCCCAAGAGGCTTCCCCGAAGCACCCAAGACGCTCTAAGAGGCCCCCGGGACCGCCAAGAGGCCCTCAAGACTCAAGACGTCCCAGGAGGACTCCAAAAAGCTACCAGGAGACATCTGAAGGGACTCCGAGAGGCATCCATAAGGCCTCTGGCCTTTCTGCTTGCCCTCCTCCTCGTACTCATCCGCCTATTCGTCCTCCTCCCGCCTCCATCCTCCTCCCGCCTCCCGCCTCCCGCCTCCTCCTCGTCCTCCTCCTCCTCCTCCTCCTGCTCCTGCTCCTCTTCCCCTTGCTCCTCCATCCTCCCCCTCTTAGGTCTTGGGGTATGACTCGGTACGACGGCTCCCCCAGCCCTTTATTTCACTGCATGCTCCTCCGCATCCCTGATCAGGGTAACCAGCATGGGTACGTTTCTGGATGAGTTGGCGGGGCTACGCGAAGCGTGTATAATCTCTTTCCCCCGCCTCTCGCCGGCATTGCTATTATCAGTATAGTCCTGCTCCCCCTCATCGTTATTATCCTTCTGCTGCGGGAAAGATACATGTTCGCCGGAGAGCGTCTGAGGCAAGATGGTTTGGGCAGCGATGGCTTACGCCAGCCGCGCACAGTCAGTCTTCTGCATATGATCAGACATAAGACGCCTGGCGGCTGGGATAACTGAGACCGACATCGATCCACGCGTGGCCGGCACAACCAGTCTCCGCTACCAAAGCCAGAGTAGGGGTGATGTGGGAATTTAAAGCTCATGGTAACAGAAGAGACCTTCTGGTATAGCGTGGGTCGTCCACGGGCAGCGATAGGCACGGAAAATGAGCCAACTTGCAGCGGAAAACGAGAGAGAAAAAAAGAGAGAGACAGAGAGACAGAGAGAGAGAGAGAGAAAGAGAGAGAGAGAGAGAGAGAGAGCGAGGCATACCGAGAGAGAGAGAGAGCAAGAGAGCGGACGTAACAGAGGAGGCAACAGGAGGAACAGTGACACCACAATTCCTGCCCCCCCATCCTCCTCCACCTCTTCCTCCTCCTCCTCCCCCTCCTCGTCTTGCTCTCCTTCCCCCTCCCCCCATCCTCCCCCTCCTCCACCTGGTCCTCCTCTTCCTCCTCCTCCTCCTCTTCCTCCTCCTCCTCCTCCTCCTCCTCCTCCTCCCCCTGCCCCCTCCTTCCCCCTCCTCCCTCCTCCCCTCCTCCTCCTCCTCTCCTCCTCTACTCCTCCTCCTCTCCTCTCCTCCTCCTCCTCCTCCTCCTTCTCCTCCCTCCTCCTCTCCTCCTCCCCCTCCTCCTCCTCCTCCTCCTTTTCCTCCTCCTCCTCCTCCTCCTCCTCCTCCTCCTCCTCCTGCCATGCGCCGAAAGCCCCCCCCCGCAGAGCGCGCCCCGCCCCGTCGCCCCTCCCCATGGAGAGCGCGGGGCGCGCGCAGCCGCCCGCCCCGCCCTGAGCCGGGAAAAGGGGAGGAGGGAGGGGCCTTGCTCTCGGGGATCGGGGAGGAAGGGGAGGAGAGGAGGAGGAGGAGGAGGAGGAGGAGGAGGAGGAGGGAGGAGGAGGAGGAGGAGGAGGAGGAGGAGGAGGAGGAGGAGGAGGAGGAGGAGGAGGAGGAGGAGGAGGAGGAGGAGGAGGAAGGAAGAGGAGGAAGGACGAGGAGGCGGAGGAGGAGGAAGGAGAAAGGAGGATGGAGGAGGAAGAGGAAGAGGAGGGGGAGAAAGACAAGGATGAAGAGAAGGAGGAGGAGGACGACGAAGAGGAAGAGGAGGAGGAAGAGGAGGAGGAGGAGGCGGAAGAGGAGGGGAAATACCGGGAGGGGAGCAGCGGAGGCAGAACGCCTCGGCGTTGAGAGGGCGGATGGGGAGAAGGGCGGGGGGGGGAGAAGAGGAGGCGACGGGAGGGGAATAGGAGAGAGAGGGGGGGAGGAGGAGGAGGAGGAGGAGGAGGAGGAGGAGGAGGAGGAGGAGGAGGAGGAGGAGGAGGAGGAGGAGGAGGGGGAGGAGGAGGAAGAGGAGGAGGAGTATAATCATCAGGAGGAGGAGGCCCACGACCTGGAGGGGGCCAGTCGCGCAGGCCGCCACCGCCCGCCGCTCGCAGGCACGGCGCCCTCGGCCTCGAAGAGAAGCGCATGGAGCACACGCCGAGGAACACGACGTTGCGCGGTGAGGCGGGGGGGCGGCGCCCGAGCCGTACGCGGCCCAGGGCCCCTACCGCCTCCCGCGGCCGCCCCCCCGCGCCGCCCCGGAGCGCCGGCCGGCGACGCGCGGCGACTCGCCGTCGATGCCCTCCCACGCCTCCGCGAGGCGGGAGATGTCCGCAACGGACTTCGGCGCCACCGCCTCGGAGAAGCCGAGGCGGCGGGCGAGCTCCGTGAAGCGCCCGCGGGCCTCCACCGAATCCGCCTCCGAGGGGGCCTCCGCCGCCGCGGCCGTCACAGGCGCCAGCGCAGCGTCGGCCCACTCGCCGCCACGAAGGAGCCCGACCGCCACGGCAGGCCGCCCACCGTCAGCCCACGCATGCATCGTCGATCAGGTCCTCGTCGATCTCGCCGTCGCCGTCGGAAGGAGGCCCGAAACGCCGCCCCAGGCGCCAGCACGAGCCCAAGGCCCGCGCGCGCGCCGCTAGCGGCCGCCGTCGGGTCCACCTCCACGGCGAGGGGGGGAGCTGCGCCCACTCCAGGGCGACCAGCTTCAGCAGCACCAGGCTCCGCGCCAGGCGCCTCCGCCCGCCGCGCCGAGAGGAGCTGGCGGCGGCGGCGGCGGCGCTCCGCCTTGGCGGGCGGCCGAACTGGCACGTTAGGGTGCGTCAGCCTGCTCGGCCCTCTCGGCGCGGGCGACGGGCGGCGGCGCCGTCGGCGCGGTCCGCGCCCGAAGCGCGACCGCCGCAACAGCACCCGCCACCGCAGCCACCGTACGCCGCGGCGCCTTGGCCTCCACGGCCGCGGTCACGGCGGCCGCCAGCAAGGCGACGCCGTCCTCCGCAGCCGTCGGGGCCCCTCTAGGCCGTGCCATCCCGCGCGGGCGGACGGCCGCGGCAAGTGCGATCGCTTGAGCCAAAATGGCTTGAGCCAAAATGGCTACGGAGCAGAAGGAGGAGGAGGAGGAGGAGGAGGAAGAGGATGAGGAGAAGGATGATGATGATGTTGATGATGCTGCTGATGATGCTGCTGATGTTGATGAGGTGGAGGAAGAGGAGGAGGAAGAAAAGAGAAGGACGAAGGTGAGCAAAATGGGAGGACGAGGAGGAGGCAGCAGAGGGGGGGAGATACCTACCACAAGTCGTCCGAACCGATGCCAAGCCAGGCCACCGTCCGCCAGTCACGCGATACAGAGTCCCACGAGGCCTCAAGGACAGAACGTGCGGAGGAGGATGAGGAACAGGAGCAACGGATGGTGATGAGGAGAGGGACGCATTCTCATCACCACCATCAACATCACCACCGCCATCATCAGATCCTCCTCCTCGTCCTCCTCCTCATGATCCTCCTCGTCCTCTCCCTCGCTCCTTCTCCTCCTGACGCCTCTTCCTCCTCCCCGCTCCTCATCGTCGTCTTCCTACTCCCCCGTTCCTCCTCTTCCTCCTCCTCCTCCTGTTTGGGGTGCAAAGCAAGCCTGGAGGATTCTAAAGGTATCCTTGTGGAGTCTGCCTGGCTCTCTGTATACCGTTTGCTTGTTTCTCTCTCTCTCTCTCTCGCTCGCACTCTCTCCCTCCCTCTCTCTTCCACTGTAGATATAAATCGCTATAACAGTGTCTCTCGTTTTCTCTCTCTCTCTCTCTCCTTCTGCCCCGCATGCACGAACAAACGAGAACACACAAAGAGAACCACTCAGAACACGCAACGAGGAAGCGTTCTCAAGGGCTTCGATTGGAAAACCTTTCAGCATAATTATGGTGAACATCACCCCAAACGGATCACATGGGAAAGCATCACAACAGTAGTCTTGCTGATAAGCAAACGCTACAAAGGGTGCTCCGGAGGCCGTGGGGGCCTCCTTAGAAGTCCTGGGGACCCCGTGGGCCAAAGGCACCATCTAGCAACATCCAACTCGTGAGGCCCGTGTCTTGTGGTCGGGAACTTTTTGATAGCATGTCGCTCCGCCGGATCTGGCCCCCCACCCTTCGGCGCGACACGCTATCCACTTCTGGGCCTCTAAGCGTCAACGTCCCGAGCCTTTCCCGACCTCCCGCCCCGCGGAGCAGGGCGACTCGCTATCACAAAGCATGGCAAAGCGCGTCGCCGGGGCTGCCCTGTCGACACGCTATCGAAAAGTTCCCGACCGCACACGGGTCAGAGGTTCTGCGCGCGGAGGTGCAAGCACAACGAGAGGCATGATGAGCGCACGTGATCAGCAGAGGCTCGTCTGCCTAGCACTGCGCCTTCAGCGCGGAAGGCTTGGAGCGGACACGCTATGGCTGAGGAGCACTTGTGCTGTCGCCCGAAACATTCGATGACGTCACAGCGAGCTGAAAGCTCACACGAAACCGAAAACGCGTAGTGGGGAAGCCAGGCTAGCGGAAAAAACGAAGAGGAGGAGGAGGAATAGGGGGGGGAGGAGGAGGAGGAGGAGGAGGAGGAGGAGGAGGAGGAGGAGGAGGGAGGAGGAGGAGGAGGAGGAGGAGGAGGAGGAGGAGGAGGAGGAGGAGGAGGAGGAGGAGGGGGGATGAGGAGGGTGGTGCGGGTATTTCCACTGACCAGTAAGCAGAGACGCGCTCTGAGGGCGGCCCTGTCTCGCGCGGCCGCGACTGATCTGTACAACTGCCCGAGGCTGAGCTGTGGCGAGCGTTACGAGACACAGTTCTGATGAGTGAAAACAAAGGCGCCTAACTTCGCGCTTCGCGCTGCGCGAAGCGCGAAAAACTTCGCGGTCTTGCGCCGCCCCCCAGTGGAGAAGAGGAGGATGAGAGGAATCGGAACCGAATCGCGAAGCGCGATTAACTTTGCGCCTACGAGGGCGCCCGTGGAAAATCTGCCACCGCGCTCGCAGCGACTGGTCTGCGTGCGGGGCACTGTGTTCATTTCACTTGTTCCCGAACAGTGCTTGCACTCAGGGCCTGAAACTTACGGAATTGGCTCCGCTCGCTTTAGCTGGACGCTTCCAATCGGTTATCCGAAAATTCAGGGTGAGATCGACGTAAAACGGACTCCGCAAAGCGGGAAATCGGTTTCGAGTTCGCTGCTTCTTATGTGCGGGCGAGGCGAAGCTGCACGAGCTCCTGCACTGACTTAGGCCCGAAACACGCCACAACGAATTGGGTTCCCTTGTGCGCCCGGGCTCTGTCCCGCGGATGTCCCATGCTTGTCCCGTGGTTGTTCCATGGTAGTCCCGTGGTTGTTCCGTCGTGGCTGTCTCGCGGTCGTCCCGCAATCGTCCCATGTCCCGTGGTTGTGCCAAGGTTGCCTCGTGGTTGTCCCGTAGGCGAGCCGTGGTCGCTGCCCCGTGGTTGCCCAGGGGGTGTCCCGTGGTCGTCCTGGGATTCTCTCGTGGTTGACTTATAGTTTTCCTCTGGTGGTTTTGTTGTTCTTCCGTGGTTGCCTATAGAGAGGTGAATGTACACACGCACGTATATGTATGTATGTATGTATGTATGTATGTATGTATGTATGTATGTATGTATGTATGTGTACATATATATACACATATATACATATACCTAGAACTACATGCACCTATACATATGTTTATACACACACCTCTTCGAAGAGTTAGAGTGAGGGGCCCAACGGTCATTCATTGTCCCTGGGCGAGTGGCTGAATAGGGAACTTGTGGTGGAGATTATGTTTGTTGCGTTGTCGTTGTCGTTGTCGGTGTCGTTGTTGTCGTTGTTGTCGTTGTCGTCGTTGTCGTCGTTGTTGTTGTTGAACTCTCATTCTTGAAGAATAATTATCGTTGATCCCCCCACACCGGTGCACATTGATTTTTTCAATTGAAGTGCCCCCCCCGGGGCTCGCACCTTGTTTTTTGTCAAAAGAATTTTCCTGCTCAAACTGGTCCCCTGGCCCCCTGGTTACAACAACAACGGCTCCCGCCTGAGACTTCCTCACAATTTAGCAAGGACCCCCGCTTCCGCCCGAGACTTCCTCGCATTTTATTCAAGAATCGCGCTCTCGCTTGGGACCCCCTTGCAATTTATTCAGGAATCGCCCCTCCTGCGTTCTGGAGTCGCGCTCTCGCTTGCAATTTACTGAAGAATAGCGCCCTTGCGTTGGAATTTCCTGCAATTTCCTCCAACGCCGCGCTCCCGACACCCAGGCACCCAGGAGTCGCGCTCACGCTTAGGACCCTTCACAGATTACATAGGAATCGGGATCTCGCTGCCCTTCGTGGCCCCGTTGCAGCCCCGTCGCTTTGTTTCGCGGCCCCGTTGCAGCCCCTCGTGGCCTCCTCGCTTTGTTTCGTGGCCCCGTCGCAGCCCTTCGTGGCACCCTCGCTTTGTTTCGTGGCCCCGTTGCAGCCCTTCGTGGCCCCTTCGCTGCCCTTCGTGGCCCCGTTGCAGCCCTTCGCGGCCCCGTTGCAGCCTTTCGTTGCCCCCTCGCTTTGTTTCGTGGCCTCATATATGTATGCCCTTCGTGGACCCCGCTCGTTCGCGCCCGTGGTGGCCCCATATGCATGCCCTTCGTGGCCCCGCTGTCGCCCTTCGTGGCCCCCTCGCTGCCCTTCGTGTCCCCGTTGCTGCCCTCAGTTTCCCCGTCCTTAACCTCCGCGGCCCAACATACGTATGCCCTTCGTGGCCCTCGCTCGTTCGCGCCCCTTGTGGCCCCATGTGCATGCCCTTCGTGGCCCCGCTGTCGCCGTTTGTGGCCCCCTCATTGTCCGAATTACGTGGCCAAGGTGCTACCCTCAGTGGCCCCATCGTTGCCTTCTGTGGCCCCGCATTATCTGCCCTACGTGACCCACGTTCGTACGCGCTCTTCGTGGCCCCATACGCATTCCCTTCGTGTCCCCGCTGTCGCCCTTCGTGGCCTACTTCGTACCCTTCGTGGCCCTGCTGCCGTGCTCTCTCGCTCTCGCTTTCGCTCGTCGTCGTCGTCGTCGCCGTCGCCTTTTTGCCGTCGTCGTCGACGTCGTCGTCGTCGTCGTGGTCGGTCCCCTGTCCGTCCCTCTTGGGGTCGGGTCGACGGTCCGCGGCCGGCCCGCCGATCAGCGCTGCCGCTGGCCAAGCCGACGGTCCGCGGCCGCCCCGCCGCTGCCGGGGCCCGACCTGCAGTGAAGAAAGGTATACCCCCCAAAAGGGGTTCGATCGAAGACGAAGAGGGCGGGTATCGAGGGTTTCGGAAATACGCGTTATTCGACACTCGAGCAGGTAAGGGCGAACAGTCTTAAAATGATTGTTGAACTCTCATTCTTGAAGAATAATTATTGTTGATCCCCCCCCACCGGTGCACATTGATTTTTTCGATTGAAGTGCCACCCCCGGGGCTCGCACCTTGTTTTTTCTTAAGGAAAGTCTTCCTACTCAAACTGTGCCCCTGCCCCCCGGGCTACAACAACAACGTCTCCCGCCTGAGACTTCCTCGATTTTTACTCAGGACCCCCGCTACCGCCTGAGACTTCCTCGCAATTTACTCAGGAAAGGCGCTCCCATCTGAGACTTCCTCGCAATGTAATCAAGACCCCCGCTCCCGCCTGAGACTTCCGTGCAATTTACGTGGGAACGGCGCTCCCGCCTGAAACTTCTTCGAATTTTACTCAGGACCCCCGCTCCTGCCTGACGTTTCCGCGCAACTGACTCAGGAACGGCGCTCCCGCCTGAGACTTCCTCGCAATTTAGTGAGGACCCCCGCTCCCGCCTGAGACTGCCGTGCAATTTGCTCAGGAACGGCGCTCCCGCTTGAGACTTCCTCGCAACTTAGTCAGGGCCCCCGCTCCCGCCCGAGATTTCCTCACAATGTACTCAGGACTGCGCTCTCGCGTGCGACGTCCTCACAAATTATTCTGGAATTGCGTTTCGGCGCTCAGGAACCACGCGCGCGCCAAGGACGCCTTCACAACGTGGTATCTTCCCTCTTCCTTCGTCCTTCCCCCTCCCCTTCCTCCCACTCTCCCTCGTTCTTCCCCTCCTCCTCTTGCAGGGCCCGCGCCAATTCCAATGGCGGGCAGAGAGATGTACGCACCCGAAGGATTGTCCGCCCGTTCCGGTTTGCCCGTACGTCTAAGCCCGCCGGCGCCAGCAAAGAGAAAGAATCCCCCCGAACGGGGTGTGATCGAAGACGAAGAGGGCGGGCTTCGAGGGTGTAGGGTATACGTGTTGAATGACTCGCGGGCAAGTAAGAGCGTACAGCTTTAAAATGGTTGTTGATGGTGTTGTTGTTGTTGTTGTTGTTGTTGTGTTTGTTGTTGTTGTTGTTGTTATTGTTGAGTTTTCCTTTATGAAGAATAATTATTGTTGATCCTCCCCCACCAGTGCATACTGTTTTGTCTCTTCTCAATCAAAGTGTGCCCCTCGACGCTCGCACCCTGTTTTTTTGACAAAGAAAGTCTTCCTGCTCAAACTGGGCCCCTGGCCCCCGGGTTACAACAACAACGGCTCCCGCCTGAGACTTCCTTACAATTTAGGCAGGGCCCCCGCTCCCGCCCGAGATCTCCTCGCATTTTATTCAGAAATCGCGCTCTCGCTTGGGACTTCCTTACAATTTATTCAGGGATCGCTCTCCCGGAGCTCTGGAGTCGCGCTCTCGCTGGAAACTTGCTTGCAACTTACTAAAGACTTCCTTACAATTTATTCAGAAATCGCTCTCCCGGAGCTCTGGAGTCGCGCTCTCGCTGGAGACTTGCTTGCAACTTACTAAAGAATAGCCTTGCGTTGAAATTCCCTGCAATTTGCCCAAGCGCCGCGCTCCTGACACCCAGGCACCCAGGAGTCGCGCCCGTTGTGGCACCATGTGCATGCCCTTCGTGGCCCCGCTGTCGCCATTTGTGTCCCCCTCATTCTCCTGCGTGGCCCAATTGCTACCCTCAGTGGCCCCATAGTTGCCTTCTGTGGCCCCGCATTATCTGCACTTCGTGGCCCCCGCTCGTTCGCACTCTTCGTGGCCCCATACGCATTCCCTTCGTGTCCCCGCTGTCGCTCTTTGTGGCCTACTTCGTGCCTTTCGTGGCCCTGCTGTCGTTCTCTCTCGCTCTCGCTTTCGCTCGTCGTCGCCATCGTCGCCGTCGTCTTCGACGTCGTCGTCGTCGTCGTCGTCGTGGTCGGTCCCCTGTCCGTCCCTCTTGGGGTCGGGTCGACGGTCCGCGGCCGCCCCGCCGATCAGCGCTGCCGCTGGCCAGGCCGACGGTCCGCGGCCGCCCCGCCGCTTGCCGGGGCCCGGCCTGCAGGGAAGAAAGGTATACCCCCCAAAAGGGGTTCGATCGAAGACGAAGGTAAGGGTTTTATTGGAGGGCGGGATTGTTGTTGTTGCTGTTGTTGTTGTCGTTATTGTTGTTGGTGGTGGTGTGGTGTTGTTGTTGTTGTTGTTGTTGCTGCTGTTGCTGTTGCTGTTGCTGTTGTTGTTGTTGTTGTTGTGTTGTGTGTTTGTGTTTGTTTTTGTTTTTGTTTTTGTTGTTGAACATTATTAATTCTAAAGAATAATTATTGTTGGGACCCCTGGTGCACGGCCCCCCTGCGCCGCCTAGGCCGCAGCTACATTTTCATCATTTTCGTGAGGAAGCCTCAGGTAATACGATGTCATCAAGATCCGGTTGTTTTGTTGTAATCCGTTTTCCCTTGCAAAAAACACTATAAAATGACATTTCTTGTTCTAATATAATCAAATTTCAAGAATCCCTTGCAAAAAATAAGGTAAAGTGGACATTCGCGCGCGCAAGACGAAATCCTTCCAAAAGCTTAGTGTTCGGAGCGATTTTAACATAAAAACATCAAAAAACCAATGGTTTTTCAACAAAAAAATGTCAAAATCTCATCCCGCGCGCTCTTGCGGATTCGTAGGAAACCCAACACTTTTTAAACATTTCTGTCAAACGGGCTTTTGCGAGCAACTTTTTCGAACTTCTGCGACAACGGTTGCGCACCTGCCAGGGCCATCATCCCTGTCAAATAATACCATGCGGGACACATTCGTTTTTTCTTCGCGCGCGCACGCCGAAATCTCCAAAAACCATTGGGTTTTTAAGAATTTTAGCACCGCGCATCATAAAATCACACGAATCGCACCGTAGGTCCTCGAAAAACACCTGCACGACTTTTCAAAATTTCCACCCGCGCGCGCTGTCCGAATCCTAAAAAAACCAATGGTTTTCCAACATTTATGTTACATGAGCTCGCGCGAGCTACTTTCGCACGCTCTTGCAACGGGGTTCGCGCGCCTGCCAGGGGCCAGAATCCTTTGCGGTTGCGCCATATGTTGCGCCCTCGGCCGCCGAGAATAAAACGCCCCCCTATTGGTTGCGTCATAGGTTGCGCCCTCGGCCGCCGAGAATAAAACGTGCACCATGCTGGGCACATGCGCGCCCCGAATAAGTGACCAAGTTCTGTGGGTGTGTACCCCACGCCAGTGTAGTAGCCACGGTCGTCCGCACGCCACGAAGTGAAGTGTCCCAACGTCATAGGGCGGGAAGCTGGGTTTGGGTGGTCGCGAAGAGTCGTTTGGATATTTGGTAGAGCTTGTAATGCCCCCCCACGAAGTGGGGGTATTGCCTGGTGTCGTATGAAAACCCTGGCACTGGGGAGAACACCACGCGTTCGGGTAAAATGATTGTTGTTGTTGTTGTTGTTGTTGTTGTTGTTGTTGTTGTTGTTTGTTGTTGTCGTCGTCCCGCCCGCGACACACCCCGCGACACACCCCGAAACCCACCCCGCGACCCACCCCGCGACAAACCCGCGACCCACCCGCGACCCACCCCGCGACCCACCCGCGACCCACCCCGCGACCCACCCGCGACCCAACCCGCGACACATCCGCGACCCACCCTCGACCCACCCCACGACCCAACCCGCGACCCACCATCAAAGGAGGAGAAACCACCCGGACCCGACAATTGACGTTTACTAAACGGCCCTGTGCGTTTACTAAACAGCCCTGCCCTGTTCGATTCATTCCTTGTGTGCGTGTACTAAACGGCTTTGCTTGTCGGGGTGAATCTGATGGGATGGATTTTCTGCCCTCTACACCCGCGACCCACCCGCGACCCACCCGCCACCCACCCGCGACCCATTTGCGACCCACCCGCGACCTACCCTACCCACATTGGTTTAGCGAAAAAATCGGCGCCTGCGGCGGGCTCGTTGTATAATGTGTGGAACTTTGGCGCCTGCGGCGGGCTTCTCCAGAGTCTCGCAAACTGCCGACGTCCCCGCCGCCCCCTCACTCTTATCCGCATCTGCGGGGTGCTACGGTTATTCTTACAAGGGACCCCCCCGTACACAAATTCGGCCCTGGGCGCTCTCCCCGGACGGTTCCACGGAGCACCCGAACGGCCCTAGATCTCTTCAAGAACAGCCCGAGAGGAGCCCGAGAGGGACCCGAGAACGCCCAAACGGCCCCGCGGCGGCCCAATACGGCCTCAAGACGGCTCGCGAGGCTTCACCAGAGGCCCCAAAAGGCCCCCAAGAGGACCCCCGAGAGGGCTTGAGGAGGCAAACTAGAATGACTTCCCAGCTGCTTCTGACAGATTTTGGGACCCCCGTCTTTTCGGGCAAAGAGCGGCCCAATACCGCTCTGACGGTCTGCGAGACTGCAACAAGACGGCGCAAGGGGCCCCCCAAATCGCTTCTAGACGGTACAAGAGGGTCCCTGGACGGCCCCAAACGGGCTCAAGAGGGCCCCAACACGGGCCGAGTGGGCCCACGAGGCCCCCAAGGAGGCCTCCAGTAGAGCCCCCCAAGACGTCCAAAACCCAGCCCCACAGCCCAAAAGAGCCCCAGGACGGATCACGAGGGGCTGGAGAACTGTTCAAGAGGACCACAGGAGGACCCCCACGAAGGCTCAGGGAGGCCAAGCAGCAGCATTTCCGAGGCCTGCTGGAGGCTGGCCAGAGGCCTCTAAGTATGCTTGCCCGGGTGTTCGGATGAGGTATTCAGGTGTTGGTGTTCTGTAATGGTGGTGTTCAGGTTTGGGTGTTAGGACTCGGCCGTCTGGGTCAGGGTGCTTGGGTTGGGGTGTCGGTCTTTGGTGGTTGACTTCGGGTTGCGATGTCAGGGTCAACGTGTATGCTACGGTGTCAATTTTCTGGCGGTCACGTTGGGGAGAATGCGTTTCGTGGACGCTTGCCTGGAAAACACTTTGACACGTTGGAACAGGGGGGGGGGGCTCCCCCCCAAAACATCGAGCGCCCCTGGAGAACCAGGGGGGGGGCCCTGGACAACCGGCTGGGGCGGCTCGAATCGTGGTGGGGGCAAAAGGACAGGGGTGGAGTGGAACCGTGGCAGGCCCCCCCCCCCTGAGCTGCAAACGGGGGTGGTTCGAACCAGGCGGGGGAGGGGGAGGCCTGTCCAAGGGCCTGGTCGAACAGGGGAGGGTCACCACCGCGCCTGAGTTTCAGTGGGGGGGGGGGTTCGAATCGGGCCCCCCCCCCTCTCCTAGAGTTGCAGGGGGTGTTCGAACCAGGCCCGCCCCTTGTGCGCGTCGTCGTCGTCGCCAGTCGCCGTTGCCGTCGCCGTCGTCGTCGTCAACGTCGTTGTCGTCGCCGTCGCTGTCACAATCATCACTCGCCCGTCCGAGGCGTGGATCTGCATGAGCAGGATCGGATCCCCGTGTCACCACGCCACTTGAGCAAGTTCCGATGGGCAACTGCACCCACGGCCCGCGTGAGTTTTGCCAAGAAGTGGCGAGTGGGTGGGTCAGATGTTGGCTCGAGCACGTGAGGTGGTCACGCGCAGTGCAAGTCAAATTAATCGTGCCTCAGAGATTGCAGCGCACACGTAGGGCGCACCATACGCGGACTGCACCACATAGATCGCACATCGAGAATGCTTGAAACTACTGCTTGGATGTTACGCGCTGGCTTCATTGCTCCCTGGAAAAATGCCGCAAAAATATAAACGGCGGGTCTCAAGTTCCGTGGCATGTCACCCAAATGCCATCTCCCAGGTTACCCTACCCCCTCCCCGAGGCGCTCCTCCAAGCAGGGTCGCGGATTCGCGCGGTAGCGCAACTGGATTAGGGAACCATGCTCTCCAAAGGATCGGAAAATTTAGACCACTACGGACTAGGATCCATAGTAGGCATCCAAGGCAACTGGCCGATCGGCTTCCACAACTTCTAGGGGCTGTCCCACGGTGCCGAAGTCCTCGATGGAGTTTCCCCGCGAAGTGGCAGAAGTGCCTTGCTTCGGCAACTTCGAAACATTACGACCCTCTGCATCGTGATCCAGCGTGTCCGCACCAGCCGCGGACCCTACGACTTCTGGAGTCGGCAGCTCTTCTGGAACCGCGCCCTGCCGAACCAACGCACACTCGACCGAAGCCGGGAGGCAAGCAGCCGCGACAAAATAGAGCGTGTGCAAACCGGCCAGGCCGAAGAACACCACGCTGTGGCCAGAGCGCCCCCACTCTCGCAGGGTCCGCGCGAAGATGGCGGCCGCACACGCGGGTCCGAGCACCTTCCCAGACGTCTCGAAGATGACGACGAGGCCGTTGACCTCCGAGCGCCGCGCGACAGGGACCGCGTTGTTGGTGCAGACCGCGCCCATCGCGCCCGTGGAGATGGAAGCCGCCATGCCGATCATCTGCACCGCGTTCGCGGCTGCCACGTGCTGCATCGCCGGGAGGGCCGCGCAGCAGGCTGCGGCGGTCGCGCTGGCCAGCATGGCGAAGCGGCGGGTGCCGAGCTGCTTGCTGCCCCGAGGCATGATGACCATGAAGAACAGGATGTTCCACACGGCGGAGCGCGCCAGGAACGAGCCGACCTCACGCTCCGAAATCGCCAGACCACCCATCGGCCTTGAGGAAATGGCCCAGAGAGGTACGAGGTCCATGAGACCCATGGTCTGCACGCCGTGCAGGAAGCGCATGAAGACAATGAGAGGCATTGGCCAGACAAACAGCAACTTGTATGCCCTCCTTTTGTCTGGCCCAGTCTTCGAGGGTGACCCATCCGCCTCGCCCTCCGGAGCCGAGTATTGCGTGGAGCAGATGCCCAAGCGAGACGGCACCCAAAAACAACACAAACAGAACGCGATGAGCGCGTAGGCCATGCCAATAAAGCTTGGCACGGCTGCAGGAAAGGCCGACCACAATCTGTATGTCCAGCCTCCCACCGCTGGACCGAACAGCTGCGTGAATGAACCGGCTCCCATAACGATGCCCATCACCTCGGTCTGTCGCTCCGCACCCGCAACCTCGGCAGCGAGCGGAGCCATCATCGTGACCCAGCCGTTCCCAGCACCGAAAAGGAGCGTCCGGACGGCCATCGCCGCCCAAAAGTCCGTGGACAGGCCGAACAAGAGGCCACCAATCGCAATGGACCCCAGCGTGGGCAACACGGCCATTCTGTAGCCGCAGCGTGCCGGGACGAGGCCCCAGACAGGCGACGTGAGGGTGCGGCCTAGCATGCCGGCTGACCCCAAGAGGCCTGCAACGAAGCCCGCAGCGTCCCTGTCCTCGACCCAGCCGAGGTCCGCACTCATGATGCCCCCGTAGCTGAAGAGAGAGCACATCGCATAATAGTGCGCCCCGTCGCAGAGGCACATCACCGCCACCAAGCGCCATGGAAGTGGCCGGTCGGCCTTTGTAGTCGACATGGCTACTTACTCGCCCCTCCTGCTTCCATGCGGGCTGAAACGGCACGGCTACCCCAACTTGAGCCCAAATGGCTACGGATGAATCAGATGGAACCGACGAAGGTGACGTAATTCCTGAACCCAACATCAATACCGCACCGAGCCCACGGGGTCCTGACTGAAATGAATCCTGCTTGCCGCAGTCTCCGCAGCCGCCGACGTCTGCCGCCGCTGCCGCCGCCGTCGCCGCCATCGCCGACGACGCCGCCGCCGAATGCCCGTATGCCGCGGCACCGCCACGGCCGTCGCCGTCGCCGTCGCCGTCTGTGTCGTCTTTGTCTTTGTCGTCTTTGTCTTTGTCGTCGTCGTCGTCGTCGCCGTCGCCATCGTTACTTCGTCGTCATCACTTTCGTCGTCGTCGCCGCCGCCGCCGTGGAAATCGAGAATCGACGGCCTGGGACGTTTCTGCCCCTGCTGGGGCCTTCGCCCGGAGGCCCCCACAGGCGCCTCTGGGGACCTCCGGGAGCCCTGGCCGCCCGAAGACTTGGCGGACCCGACGGCACTGCCGGAGGAACGGAAGAACTGCACGAGCAGCAACGTTCGAAGCTCCGCGCGGGTCGGCTCTGCGCCGGGGAGGAGGGCCCAGCGCCGACCCAAGAAACCCGCGCGGACCTCCAACAGGTCCTGCTTCATACGAACTGCTTTGTTCTCGAACTGCGGGGGCTCTACACCGGAGGGTTCCAAAGGGGTTTTGTTGGGGAGGGGGTTTTCCAGAAAGCCCCCCAGGGGCCTCGGCACCTCGTCAGAACAGGGGGTGCGAAGCCCCTGGGGGACCCCTCCTGGACAATTCCCTCTCCCCCTTGACCCCCCTTTGGAACCCTCCGGCTACCCGCAGCAGGGCACCGTCCCGGGGCACCTTCCCGAGCCGAGATCCGGCCCGCGAGCTCCGACAACGGGCGGGGGCGAGAGGTGCGAGGCTGGGGCGCGACGTGCCTGCCACTCCCGCCGCCGCCCGCCCGAGCCCCTGGCCCATCCCTGGCCCTGGACTCGAACGCTGGCGCTGGCTTCTCCTTTCGCGGAAGAAGGGGTGCACAGAAACGGCCCTATCCGGAGTTACAACAAGTAAGTGGGTCTGTAGACCTCCTGATAACCCCAGAGCCTAGAGAGCCGCCAAGACGCCGCACATCACGCAGGGTTTACCCTGTCAGCCCACAGGAGGTTCAGCGCACAGCGCCTCGTACACCAGGGTAGGGGCGATTTGTACGCCCTTGACGGAAGAGGAAAAACGGTGACCGGGGCCAAGGCTGAGCGCGGACGGAAACATCGGTGCCGCTCTTGGCCTCCGCCCAATCCTGGCCACCGTCGATGCGTGCATCGTCCACGCGGATCGGCGACGGCCAGCATCGGCCATGACCAAGATCGGCGTCGACAGGGCCCCGCGACTCGGCGGCGAGCGGGGGGGGAAGTGAGAAGGTGAAGGCCTTCTCGGAAGGCGGCGGGGCTTCTCAGAAGCCCTCTGGCCTTCTGAGAGGTTTTCTGTGTCCTCGGGGATGCCAGGGGACTCCCGAGCCTTGTGTGAAGGCCTTCTCCTTCTCACCTCCCCCCCAGGCTCGCCGCCGACCGACATCTTGGTCGTGGCCATGTGCTCCTTCCCTGTGGTCACCGCCAATGCGTGTATCGTCCGCGCGGATCGGCGACGGCCATCATCAGCATCGGCCATGACCACGATCGGCGTCGATAAGACCCCGCGACATCTTGGTCGTGGCCACGCGCTTCTTCCCTCGCTCTCGGGCGCGGCCGTGCGCCACTGCAGCCGCCAGTCTGCCCGCCCGCGCGCGCGTATGGCCCGCGGGCGGGGCTGTGTCAGCCGGCGCCTCTGCAGGGGCGGCGCGTGGTGGAGCGCTGCCCCAGCTGGCCTCCGCCCTCGCGGGGCGGGCTGGGGCTCGCTGCTCCTCTCCTCGGGCGGGTGGTCACTGGGGGGGTGACTTCCAAGAGCATCAAACGTAGGTCGCCCCTTGAAGCAGGAAGGCGCTTTTGAAGTAGACCGGGATCTGGGAACCCAAGAGCACGTGTGTTCAACGACTGGTGTGCAGATGCACGCCTTTGCTCGCTGGCCCCAATGAGGCCCTGGGTTGGCCTAAAGGGCCTTAAAGGGGCCCTTTTCTTCGCTCACCCTTTTCTCGGTCATCCCGAGTCATCCCCCATTGCCACCCGCCCGATCTCCTCCGGAAGATTTTCGCCGTTCCCGGCTCCTGGGGGCCCCCGCTGGGTCCCGGGGGCCAGCGAAAAAAGAGATTCCGGCTTCAGGATGCAAAGCTGGCCCTGGCGAGAGAGTCGAGACTCCTGGAAGGGGGGGGGGGGGCGCACCGAGAAAGACACGAAGCGGCTCGCCGCCAAGGCAGAGGGTCGAGCCTCCTGGAGGGGGGGCGCACTGAGGAAAGCACGAGGCGGCTCGCCGCTGCGGCCCCACCGCCAGCTCAAGCGGCGAGCATACATCGGGCGTGGCCCCCTGGAAACTGGCACAGCTGTGTGCCCATCGTGGGACGCACTGGGCTGCGCGACCCACGGGCTGCGAATCCGGCTGCTCCGTCCACGGGTTGCGCCAGCCATCGGCCTTGCGCCATGTTGCGCCGCGGGCTGCGCCATTCACGGGCTGAGCCGCGGGCAATGCAGAATCGCTAAGCGCTACGTCGCCGACGCGGGCACCGCGAACGAGGACGCGCCATGCAAAACCGCAAGACCGCGGATACGGGCACGCGCCACGCGAGATCGCCGACGCGTGCATCATCGAACGGCCTCCTGTTGGCTGCGCCATGGGTGGCGCCCTCCGCCGCCGGGAGCACGGCGACCTGCTGGCGCCGGGCGTGCACGTGCGCGGCCGCCGGGAAGCCGCCGCGACCCCCGCTTAAGCAGGGGGCGAGGGGAGGCATTGAATGCGCGACGAGTGGCGGCCCCCGCCCTCCTGGAGCGCCTCTTTTTTATTCGAGGCCGTAACGGGCGTTAGGGGGGGGGGGGGCGGGAGGGGGCATAACGTATCGCTCCCCCCCTCCCCGCCCCCCAGAACGATGCGGTGCCAGACGCACTGCGGCAGTGCCGTGGACGCACAAGGGGGGGGAACGTTACATGGCTCGAGGCGGCGCCGCGTTTGCCCCGGCCCGCTCCCGCGTCCGCCGCGATCCCGGTGCGAATCTCCCAACGCTCCTCAGATATGGGGTCTGAAACTTCTTGCTCTCGCGAAGCTCGACCGCCTCGGCCCCCGCATCAGTGCATTGGGCTTTTTTTCAGCGGGGGAGTACGACAACACACTTCAGAGGAACGACGGGGGAGTAGCTGACAGCCTCGCACAATCCAGCGCGCGCAACCGCACATCGATCCGCTCAATTCCGTGGTTATGGTCCACGGGGGTCCACACCTGCATCTTTTCATGACGTCAGCCATCAGAGGTCCGGGACCTGTTTTCCATCCCGAATCTTCTTCACTGACGCTCCCGAGGCCCGGCGAGGGCCCGAGAAACCGAAAACAGCGAACAACCTCATGTCGTGGTTTTTCCCCGGCTCGAGCGGGCCTGGGCATATAAGTACATACGCATGTGCGTCTAACAATTTTCGCCGCTTCGGACTTCTGCCGGCCCTTTCGGCCCGCGAGACCCCCATAGACCCGCCCGTGACTGCACGAGAAGAACCCAAGAGGGCCCAGAGAGCCCCACTGCGATCCAAGATGCCCTCAAAACAGCCCAAAATGCCCTCAACAGGTTCTCGAGAAGGGGCTCTCTCGAGCCCCACATCTCCCTTGAGGGTCGGCGGAATGGCGTAAGCCTCTTGACTGTAACTTGGACGCCCGAACTGTCCGGGAAAACTGCGGTCCAGGGTAACTCCGGCTTGGGCCCCGGAGGCACGAACCCGTAGCCACCCCTGCCTGCCCCCAGCCCCGATTACTCGGGAGGTCAGACGCGCGAATTACCCAGGATAGCTGCGGTCCGGGGTAGCTCGGGCTTGGGCCCCCGAGGCGCGAACCCGTAGCCACACCTGACCACCCCCCAGCCCTGATGATTCGAAGCTCCCAGAAAGGGTCTGCTATTCGTTGGCTGCGCCATACGTTGCGTGCTTGGTCGCCGAGAATCCACCGATCTCTGCTTGCCAGGGGTGAAAAGGCGTGAGATGATTGGCTGCTGCCCTCCCCCTTCCCCAATCCCGTGACAAACTCAAGTTTGAGGGGGAGGGGGTCCCCAGCTGAACTCGTCAACGCGCGCACAAACACGCCCGGATGGCCTCAAGAACACTCAGGATGGTCCCCTGACGGCCCAAGAAGATTACATGACGCCCCAAGAGTGTTCAAAGGACGCCAAGAACATGGATCCTCCATTTGTGTTTGACGCATTTTACAAGTGTCCCCTTTTCGAACTTCGGGCGCTCCAAGACGGCCCCAAGCGGCCCCCCAAATCGCCATCGAGATGTTCCAAAATGGGCCCCAAAAGAGCCCCCAGACGGCCCAAGAGGCTTCAAAGGCGACCCAAGACAACCCCAGCAGGGCCTGAAAGGGAAATCCAAGAGGGAAAACACGAACCGGCATTTCGAGCCGGAAAATCGCGCCCAAAACAACGCCATGCGCATGTATACTTGTTCACGTCCGCCGAGCCAGCTCCTTCCCGCACCCCATTCCCCAGGAACCCGCCCCGACCAACTTGGACGAAACGAGGGCCCAGCGACGACCCCCGACGAACTCCCTTGACCCGAAAATGCTGCGCGTGGGGGACCTCGGACCAGGCTCACAATACATCAAAAACCTTTCCGGTATCCTTGTCCTGCTCCTCCTTCTCCTTCTTCTTCCTCTCACCGTCGTTGACATCAAAGACATCCTGTTCCTCCATCTCTGACACTCTCCGAGCTTCCATATGAGAAGGATATTTCGACTATCTCTGGCGTCGGTTGGAAGACTTTCGATTCATGCGAAACGCGCAATGCATGTCGGTTCCCACTTCCTCCTCCTCCTCCTCCTCCTCCTCCTCTTCCTCTTCCTCGTCCTCCTCCTTGTCGTCGTCGTCGTCCTCCTCCTCCTCTTAATCCTCCTCCTGCCCTTCCACTTCCTTTTGCTTCTCCCCCTCCCCTGCCCCCTCGTGTGTCATCCGCAAACACACACCGACGCACGCACGCACAAACATAAGCACAAACACAAGCACAAGCACAAACACAATATCAAACACACGCACACACACACACACACACACACACACACACACCTTCTCCTCGTCGCACTACCAGACGTCGGTAGGGCCGTACGGAGCACGTGTGGCTATGAACATGTGGGCTTTCGCTGAAGGCTTCCTCCGATGTTGTTATCCGAAGCTGCAAGATGTGTGACCGTCACAATGGTGGAGGGCGTCTCTTTTCCAGCAAGGGGCTTTCACTTCAAACAGTTGAACGGATGGAAGTCCCAAGAGGCCCCCAAGTGACTCCCCAAAGACACCCAAACTGCCCCCCAGAGGCCCCCGAGAGCGCTCCGAAGAGACCCCAAGAAGCATCCCTGAGGACTCTGACCCACGTCAGTGTCGTCCCCCTTCAGGGTCGATGGCGCCGGCCGTAAGGCCTTCGCGATTTGAAATAGTTACACAGATGCGGGACAGCTCCTTTTCGAAATGGGGCTCTCGCTGGGTACGTGCTTAAATTTGATGTTCCCTGATGCGTGGTGCATGGCAGATCCTTGTTCCGCACGAGGGGCCCGCGAACGTGGCAAACCCATGGGGCGTTCGCCTTCTGAAGAGGGCACCCCCGTGGTGACAAGGAGAACCTGAACCTGCAGGGGCTCATGAGGGGACTGGGGATGGGTGGGCGTGATGCAGCACGGCTGCTGCGTCATGGGCTTACTCTGGCTGTCCTCCTCCTCCTCCTCCTCCTCCTGTTTCCTGTTCCTGATGGCGATAGAAGTCTCCGACTGCCGCCCCCCGTCCTCCTCCTCCTCCTCCTCCTCCTCCTCCTCCTCCTCATCATCATCATCATCATCAGCACCAGCAGCATCATCATCATCATCACTATCACCACCACCACCATCATCATCACCATCACCACCACCACCACCATCATCATCATCATCATCATCATCATCATCATCATCATCATCATCATCAGCAGCAGCAGCAGCAGCAGCATCGTCAACCTCATCATCATCATCCTAATCAGCATCATCATCACCATCATGATCATCAGCATCAGCATTATCATCCTTTTCCTCCTCCTCCTCATCCTCCTCCTCCTCCTCCTCTTCCTCCTCCTCCTCATTTTCTCGTGCCTTACCTCTTCCCTCTGCTACCCTTGCTTCGGCCGTCCGTCCCTCGTTCCCTTGGTTCCACCTCCTGAGAATACTTTCTCTCCCTCTCTCTCCAATGTTGCCTGTGTTTCGTGTGATGAGTGCAGGCCTCTCGACCCTGTGCCGTGCTCCGCTCGAGGTGTTCTCGTGTCGATGCGGGGAGTGGCTCCCTCGATGACTTTTGACAAAGGTGTGAGCAGAATGTCTGACATGCGCCCTGCGGCCATATTCATGATTCAGATCTTGCGACTCGGCCAATTGTAGCGTAGCCAGCCAGCCAGTCTCCTCTTCCTCCTTCTCATACTGCCTCTGCCCCTTCCCCTCCTCAGCTTCTTAGCGCCTCGACGTGTTAATCCTGCATCTCTCCAGGGGTGCTCTCTGACCAGAGCTACGGTGAATCTAGCCGCGGCGACGAAAAAGAGTCCTGGACACCCCCAAGAAGGCGAACAAGGTCGCGAAACCTCGATTATCGATCCTCGAAGCTCCTGCTTCGTCCTCCTCCTCCTCTTTCTGATCCTTCTGCTCCTCCTCCTCCTCCTCCACTTCCGACTCTTCCTCCAGCGATGCCTACGTAGGGAAACAAACAACGACACAACCATTAACTTTCAGAGGTCCCCGCGTATTCCTTGTGGTCGGCGCTGGCCTCCCTCCCTCCGCTGCTGGCGCGCGATGCGCGCCAAGGACAGCGCTGGAGGCGCCAGAAGGGGGGTCCAGCCCCGACCCAAAGAGCTCGCGCGGCCTCCATGAACTAAATGCTCGTGTTGTTTTTGTTCTATGACTGCTGCAACTCCATCCTCGCTAACGGCGATGTTGGTTAACGGCGATGTTGGGAATCTGGCTCTCGCGACGCCACACTCGTGCAGAACAATTTGTAGGACAACGGGAAACCAGCCTTTCCTAAAATTAAGTCGGGCGTGTCCCCCTACAGGCCGATTTTGGACGAAAGATGTAAAACAAAGAAATAAATATTATAAACATGTTCAAAAACTGTCAACAAATCGTCCCCAGACTATGTTTTGACTATTTTTGAATATCCCCCCTGTAGAGGGACAGGCCCGACTTAATCCTAAAATGCGGTCGGCCACGAACCAGCCCCCCCTACCACACCGAAAACACCTACATCGCCGATACCTACGTCGCGGTGAGCGCGCCTACGGCACATGGGGAAACCAAAAGGTACCGATCCCGCTTCTCCCTGGACCTCACCCGGGTGCGTTCTGACCAGGATTTCGAAGCGAATCCAGCGGTGGCGACGAGGGCCTTCCAGGAGGTCGAAGGGTGGCGGTAGTGGTACCTTGTCCTCCTCTGATTACACAGAGGCCTCCTATCTGGGGTCCGAGTAGATGGGGTCGGAGGACCCCGCCGCATCGCCGATGCATCGACGATGCATGCACGACGTCAGCGATTCGTCGGCGACATCGGCGTGGAGTAAATCGGCCTCCACATCGAGCCGCATCGCCGATGCCTCGGTGATGCGGAGCGATCCTTCGACCACATCTGCTCCGACCCCGTCTAGGAGGCGTTGAATAATACAGTGGAGGCCCGACCACAAGAAACCTTCCACAAGAAACCCAACCCTGAGAACCCATGACGTCCATTGAATTTTGGGGCGGGAACGTCGCGCTCTCCACAGCAAAACCATCGAAACCCCAGAAACCCAGGGCACCCTGGAGGCAAGCAGGGTGTCTCTTGGCATGGGCCTCCACTGTAGAATACCACTGGCCCGCGGGGCGCTCACACGTTCTTGAGGTTCGCCAGCCGACGCATGAGGTTGTCATCGTCGTTGCCCGCCGGGGCGGGCGGCGGCGGCGCCGGCGCGGGCTGCGCCTCTCTGAGCGCCGCGAGAGGAGCGGCGGCAAGGCTGGGGGGGGCACAGTTTCGGCTGCACGCAAACAGTGACCCCGGGTAAGAGTGACCCTTGGTGCGCGGCCTCATTCGGGCGCCTGGGCTCGAAAAAAAGCGAAAACGCCGGGCTCGAAAAACACTGCAGCGCCAGGATCTCAGCGATCGCAAGACACCGGAAACGTCGCCGTGGTGCTTCGTCGTCGTCGTCGTCGTGGTGCTTCGCCGTCGTCGTCGTCGTCGCCGTCGTCGCCGTCGTCGTCGTCGCCGTCGTCGCCGTCGTCGCCGTCGTCGTCGTCGCCGTCGTCGTCGTCGCCGTCGTCGTCGTCGTCGTCGTCGTCGTCGTCGTCGTCGTCGTCGTCGTCGTCGTCGTCGTCGTCGTCGTCTCCCGGGGGCGCCTCGGCCGGTGCGGCGGCCGCGGGTGCCGCCGCGGCCGCCGCGGGGGGCGCCACTGGCGCCGGCTGCGCGGGGGGCGGCCGCGCGGCCGCCTCGGCGCCCACGGCGATGAGCTGCCTCGGGCGGCGACTGCCTACCAGACCACCCCGGATCTAACCCGCAGACCCATGCAACTTTCGGGTTGGGGGCTACGTTGCTCCCATCGTACTGGAGGGCCACGTCCCAGAAGTAAGTTCGAGCACCCAGGAAGGTGCCGAAACAGTGTCGAAAGAGTATCGCCTCCCAGGGCCCGACACGGGAAAACCCTTAAGTTTCGTTACTTTCCTGGTGCTCGAAACAATTTCTGGTGATCAAGGCTGGAACATCATAAGTTGGGGGGGGGGTACGGGTTACTCATGTGTTTTTCCAATGTTCCGCGACGCCCCCCCCCCACTGGCAATGGAGGGGAGATTGGGGCCTTCGGGGTGGGTCGGGACGGTCTGGTGGGTGGTGAGGCGGACCGGCGCCGACGTCCCGGAGACGCCTGGCGCCCTCGACAGAATCTGCGCCCCTTCGGCTCGGCCTCCTGCCCCAGAGATCCGAGGATCTGTTTTTTTTTTCAGTCCGGCGGTTTGCCCTGGATTTCGGCCCCCTGCAGCATCTGGCCTGGAGGCTAGCAAAAATGGATCGGCCACCCACGGGGAAGGGGTCGGGACCTCTGGGGCCGGGGATGGAACAAAAAATCAGATCGGCGGATATCTGGGGCCCAGGCCTCCCACGCATCGACAAATTGCAGGCGGAGGTTTTCCGTCGTTGGGGCTTGCCTCGTTGGGCCCAGGGGGCCGTCAAGGAGCGACTCGGGATGCAGAGCCGGTCCTGGGAAACGGTCGGGACTTCTCGGGACCCCGTGCTCAACAAACCAATCCATCGGGCCTCTGGGCCCCTGGATCCGACGTCATGGTTTTGTCCATGCGGGCCCCCGGGAGTCTCGATCCCGTTCCCCAGGACTAGTCATTCGTCCTCGAGTCGCCTAGGGCCTCCTGAGGCCGAAAACGGCGGAAGACCCCCGTCGCGATTTGTTTCCACACGTCGGATCTCGTTCTCTGCCGCCCTCGGCAAGCTCTTCGGCCTCCGCCGGGCCTCTTCGCTGTCGCCCTCCGGGGGGGCGCCTGGCGCCGGGCTCCCGGAGGCAGGGGCCCCGCTCGATGGGGGGTGCCAGGGAGGGGGCGGCCCAAGAGGGGGGGCCGCAAGCCATGTCCCGGGGCGCGCGCTGCGCGGCCCCCCAGGGCTGGGGGGGGGGGGGGGGCGAGGGACGCGCTGGAAGAAGGCGAGGGGCGCAAGAGATCTGGGAGATCTCGTGGCCCCCGCCATGTGCCCCCCCCCCCCACCCCACGACCCACCTCCTGGCCGCCCCCGAAGAGTCCTGGCCGCCCCCGAAGAGGAGAGGCCTGGCCCCCATAGAGAGGGGCGGGACTCCGGAGGGCCCCGCCCCGAAAACGTCGGGGCACGTCAGCCCGTCGCCCCGAGCCGCGTCGCCGCGCCGGCCTCGGCCCCGCCCAGGCCCAGCCTGAGCGCACCAGTTTTCGCGACGCCCTCGGCGGTGCATTCTTCCCCAGGCGGTGCTTCCACCTGGGGGCTCTCACTTCTGGTTCGAAGGAGCCGGGCCGCGGTGTTGGCTTGGCGGGCATGCTGCAGGCCCCGTCGCCGCCTCGTCGCCGCCCGCAGTCTGGGCCGCGGTGTTGGCGGCCGCGCATGTTGCCGCCGTCATCGCCCCGTCGCCGCCTCGTCGCCACCCGTCGCCGCCCGCTGTCTGGGCCGCGGAGTTGGCCGCCGCGCTTGTTGCCGCCGTCGCCGCCCCGTCGCCGCCCCGTCGTCTGGGCCGCGGAGTTGGTCGCCGCGCTCGTTGCGGCCCGTCGCCTGGGCCTGGGTGTTGGTCGCCGCGCTTGCTGCGGCCCCTCGCCGCCCCGTCGCCGCCTCTCGCCCGGGCCTGGGTATTGGTCGCCGCGCTTGTTGCCGTCGCCGCCCCATCGCCGCCCCGTCGCCAACCCGTCGCCAACCCGTCGCCGCCCGCCGTCTGGGCTGCGGTGTTGGCCGGCGCGCTTGTTGCCGACATCACCGCCCCGTCGCCGCAGGCTGCACAACATAGGTTGCGCCACGTAAGTTGTGCACAATTGAGTTACTAACACCGATACGGCACAACATAGATGGTACAACAACGATTGCACAACATAGATTGCAATCATATATTGGTTCACAATGAATGCACCACATCGGTTGCACCACACAGATTGCACACTATAGAGTGCACCACACATGTTACAAAACATACATTGCACTGCAGAGTGCCTAGACTGCTCCAAGTCATTTGCACAGCATGGATCGTACCACGCAGAATGCACCACATAGGTTGCTCAACACAGATTGCACAACACACCTTTCACCGTATATATTGCACCGCATACATCGCACCACCGATACTACAACACATAGATTGCACCTCACATAACGCGCACTGTTTGGGATCCACGCTGGCTGACATTTGTTACATATTACACTGGGAACAAGCCTGCACACCTTGAGCTTGTCACCACAATGCGCAGCGGAGAGAGCGTGAAACAGGAGGCGGAGGAGGACAACGCTTGGCGCGCCCACTGCTGTGTTGCCTCACTGCGGGTGCCCTCAGATTCTCAGACAAGCGATGTCTTGATTTGTTCAATCTGGCCACGCGCAGACGGGGGTAGAGCAAGGGGAGGAGGCTTCTCAGAAGGAGGGTGCTTCTCAGAAGGCGCGAGCCTGCCATCTTTTGACCATGCCCGCGCCTTCTAAGAAGCAACCTCCATCTATGACATCTTCCCCCGTCCCCCTGCCTCCCCTCTTCGCGTGGCCGATCAATGCTGGGTCCCTGGAAGTACGGGCCCGACCTCTCCCCGGGACCGGTTTCTCGGCCCGAGTCGTTATGTTGACGGTACCGAGTAAGGGCCCCGGGAGGCCGCAGACGATGAAACACCTCCGTCTCGAAGTCTTTGGGCCACGCGCAGAGGGGGGCGTTGGGAGGAAAAGGGAGGACTTCTTAGAAGCACCCCTGCTTCTTAGAAGGCGCGGGCCGTATCTATAGAAACAGTCACCTTCTACGAAGCCCTCCCCCCTCCCCAAACCTCCGTGTGCGCGCCGCCACGTTTTCGAGACGCCGTATTCTGGGAGATCTGTGGCCCGCGACGCAGGGCCCGGTGCGAGGCGCGAGGCCGTCACCGCCTACGCCCCCGCGCCCCCGCGCCGGCCCCAGAGAAGGGCACCTCTCTGGGCCAGGCCGCGCAGCGCCACTGTCGTCGTCGTCGTCGCCGCCGCCGCCGCCGCCGCCGCCGTCGTGGTCGTCGTCGTCGTCGCCGCCGCCGCCGTCGCCGCCGCCGTCGTCGTCGTCGTCGTCGCCGTCGTCGTCGTCGTCGTCGTCGTCGTCGTCGTCGTTGTCGTCGTCGTCTGTCGTCGTCCGCGCCGGGAGCGCGACCATCTCTACGCAGTGCAGGCGCGCCCCTGCGGGTGGCCCAGTCGAAGCAGCACGCCCTCCTGGCCTCGGCCAGCAGCGCACTTTCTGGACGCCCGAAATGGGTACGGAAAGAATGGGTACACACTGCCCAACAGCACATGTTGCCCCAAAGCAACAGCGGCCGGGCAGGCGGCCTTCTGTCTCGAATTGACACAGGCCGCGGCAGCGTGGACAGCGAGTCCTGCTCAAAATGCACAAGAGCTGCTGCTGGGCATTGTGCCCATTCTTTCCATACCCATGTCGTTCGCGCCGTCACATGCTGCGCCGACCCCAGGGCACGGGATGGCCCCGGCCAGGACTGGCACTCGCTGTGCGGCTGGCCTTCCCCGGACCTCGACGACACCCCGACCGATCCTGGGACGGATTCAGCCGTGGCCGCGAGGGCGCCCCCAGAGGCCCGAATCGGCCAAAGAATGTCGCGAGCCCCGACATTCGACCAGATGACGACAACCACGAACGACGACGACAACGGACGACGATCGACGGATGACCGACGACCGACGACGACGACGACAACAACGACGACGTCGACGCCGACGCCGACGCCGCCGCCGCCACCGCCGCCACCACCGCCGCTGCCGCCGCGACTCCCGGCGGCGGCGGCAGCAACGTCCATCGTCGTCCGTCGTCGTCGTCGTCGTCGTCGGCGGCGACGGCGGCGGCGGCGATGCCTGGCGGGCGGCGCCGGCGCCGGCGCGGCGGCCACTGGCGCGGGCGCGGCGGGAGCCGCCGCCGCGGCAGCCAGGGGCCCCATCTGGTCCAGGGCCATCTCCTCGAGCACCCGCTGCACCTGCAGATCGCCGCCGCCGCCGCCGCCGCCGCCGCCGCCGTCGTCGCGTCGTCGTCGTCGTCGTCGTCGTCGTCGTCGTCGTCGTCGTCGTCGTCGTCGTCGTCGTCGTCGTCGTCGTCGTCGTCTTCGTCGTCGTCGTCGTCGTCGTCGTCTTCGTCTTCGTCGTCGTCGTCGTTCGATCGCCAGGCGTCGCCGACGCTGCCGCTGCCGAGGTCGTCTGTCATCGAGCACCCGCTGCACCTGCAGATCGACGGTGACGTCGCCGTCGCCGTCGCCCGATCGAGGCTCAAGGCTCTTGGGGCGTCACCACGACAAGGCGGAGTGCACCCCATGACCCTTGGCCGGGGTTTTGAGCATAGCTCGACTAATAAACTTCTCTCGGCGCCCTCGAGGTTGCGAGCTGATGCGCTCGGCGATGCCCCATCCATCGGCATTGTATGCTTAAGAGCTCTGTGGCTGCTCTGCACCTCGAGAAGATTTGGTCGAGCAACAGTTCGACTCAGCAGAATAGTCGCAGCACGGGGTCACCGCCGCCAGTCGCCGCCGCCGTCGCCGCTGGGTCCAGGGCCATCTCCTCGAGCGCCCGCTGCACCCGCCGAGTCCTCCCCTCGAGCCTCGGGGACCGCGTGGCTGTTCGCTCTCTGGAGGCTCCTGTGCGCTCGGGGGCCCTCCGTGGGCCTGGGGAGGCCCAGGGTGCGACGAGGAGGGGACGACGAGGAGTGCCCCTGGCCTGGTGCGCCGAGGATGGGGGGCCAGGCAGAGAAGGGGCAGCGCATCGTGGCCCGAGGCCTGCGCGCGGCCGAGCGGGGGCCCGGGGACGCGGGGAAAGTGGAAGCAGGGGGGGGAGAACTCCTGGCCCCAGCCGTGCCCCCCCCCCCCCCCCGTACACACGGCCAGGAACTTCTGCTGAGCGCGTCGCCGCGGCGGCCCCCGGCGACACGCCGTGCCGTGCGAGCGGCCAGTGTGCCGCTCCGCTCCGCGGGGCGGGAGGCTGGAAAAGGCTCGGGGCGCTGGCGCCTGGGAGTGCGGAAGCGGATAGCGTGCCGCGACGAAGCCAGAATAGGTGGAGCGACACGCGATCCCAAAATTCGCCGCCCCCCCCCCCCGAGTCCTCCTCCGCCCCCTTCCTGGACGCCCCCGATGCAATGATCTCCAAGGGGGCGGGGACGTTCGGGGGGACCAGGTGCCCCCGGCGGGAGAGCAAGACTTACACGAGCGGCACCCAAGGGGGACGCGCTGAAAGCAGAACGGGGGAGATCTCATGGAGACTTCGTGGCCCCAGCCATGATGCCCCCCCCCCCTCCCCATAATCCTCCTCCCTACTCTTGGTTGGACGCCCCCAGTGCAGTGACCCCTGGGGGGCCAAGTGCCCCAGGCGAGAGAGCAAAAGACTTAAGTCGGGCCTGTCCCCCTACAGAGGGCTTTTCGACGAAAAATAAAACATGCCCAAAAAAGTAATCAAAAAATAGTCCAAACATAGTCTGGGGACTATGTTTTGGTATTGTTTGACCTTTTTGGTGGATGTTTGGGGTATGTTTTATTTTTCGTCGAAAATCCCCCTGTAGGGGGACACGCCCGACATAACAAAAGACTTACGAGCGGCATGCCTCGACGGCGGCCGCGTCCGCCTCGCCGTCCTCCTCGAACGCCGCCTCCATCGCGCCGTCCACCTCGGCGCACTTGGCCATCTCTGCCTGTGGTTACACGCAGGAGTGGCCATGGGCAAGAGTGACCTTTGCGGTCCATGGGGCCCAGGGAGACGCAAATGAGTAGGCACATATCCCAGCGTGGACCCAAAACCATGAGTTCATACAACATGTGCGGTGCCGTCTCGGAGGTGCAATCAATGTTGGGCAACATATGTGGTGCAATCCATGTGATGCAACCGATGTGGTGCAAAGTAATGGAACGCAATGGGCAACAATTAAAATCAATCCCACGCAATGCGGATAAATGCAAAGACATGCAAAGCAATGCTGAGCGATACAAAGCAATGCTAAGCAAAACAATGCAATGTTTTGCAATGCGTATCAATGCGAAGCAATGCGAAGCGGGCGGCGACGAGACGGCGGGCGGCCACGAGGCGGCGACGGCGGCCACATGGCGGCCAAAGCAGCCGCAGGCCCAGGCGACGGGCGTCGACGAGACGGCGACGCCATCCACATGGCGGCCATCGCCCGCAGGACCAGGCGACGAGAGGCGACGAGGCGGCGACGGCGGCCACAGGGCGGCCAGAAGGCCATCGCGGCCCGCAGGCCCAGCTCCAAAGAAAAGAAGCACGAGCCCCTAAGTGGGAGCACTTTTTGAGGACTTGTTTTTAGACTGTTCTCCTCTCCTCAATTTCCCCTGTTTCCAAATAAACTTACGCGTGTATGCTTATATAGATGTATCAGAAAATCCACGTTTATGTCTGTTTGTAGATTATCCTCGCCTATCGTTGGTGCGCAGCTTTAGGGGCCGCGGGGAGTTCAGATCCAAGCACGCACGCATTTGCTGGGGGGGATCCTGTGGACTGCACCAAAGGTCACTCCGGCGAAGGGTCTCACTTCAGCGTAGCCAACGCCTGCATCTTCCTCATGGTCTCCCCGACCTCCGGCATGCCGGCGATCTTGTTCATCTTCTGCATAACCTCCGTGGAGAGCTTGAGGGAGCTCGCCGTGCTCATGGTCGCGAGGGAGGTGGTCAGCTGGAGATCAACCGCGTGCATGTTGACCTTGGTCTTCTCTAGGCGTTGCACCGCTTTCCGGGACTTGACAACCGACTTGGCGAGCATCTGCACCGAGTCCACTTGGCCCGCCTCGGCCTGCTTGCGGATCTCCGCCTGCAGCTTCGCCTCGCCGGTCTGGATCTTTTTGATCTCTCGGTCCAGGTGCTTCACCTCTGTCTTCAGCTGCCACTGCCACTCCTTGGCCTTCAGCTTGGCGTTGATTTCGGCCTTCTTGGAGTTATTGCCACCCATCTAGTCGAACGGTGGTGCCCGGTCAGAGGTGCGCCAGGGAAACAAGGAAGTCGCTGCTCGAGACTCGAGCCAGGGCGGGGGCGGGGGAAGAGCCCCAGCAGGAGCGGCCGGATCCCGCATCTTCGCCCAGCCTGTGGATGTCACTCCCGAAAAAGAAGTCGACGAAAGTCCCATGAGCCCCCCAGATGTCTAAACGAAATGCAGTCGGACTTCAGACAGAAGAACGTCCTTCGAGAACATGAGACCCTCCGCTGGCCAAAACTCGCAGAACATCCGAGGGCACCCTCCCCAGGATGCACAAGAACATCCAACAAGCACGAATAATATCAAGGTACCCTCGGCAGAGCACATGGGCTACACGCGTGCGCACACTGGAATCACGCGGTCGCATCGCGTGCGGATGCATCCTCCTCCTCCTCCTCCTTCTCCCTTTACCTTCTCCTCCTCCCTCCACCTTCTCCTCCTCCTCCGCCTCCTCCTCCCTCCTCCACCTCCTCCTCCTCCTTCTTCCTTCTCCTTCTCCTCCTCCCTCCTCCTTCTCCTCCTCCTCCACCTCCTCCTCCCTCCTCCTCCTCCTCCTCCTCCTCCTCCTCCTCCATTCCTTTTCCTCATAAGCAACCTCTCCCTGTCGCACCCCGAGGCCAGTTTTTAGGGCGGCCCGAGCGTTTTGCCTAAGACTTCTTGACCATGTATGATTCTGAAACTTGAAAAACGGCAACAGTTTCACCAGTGGAGGGCGGGTGGTTTTCAACATCTGGCTCTCGCCTTAGCGCCGCGCACATTCGTTCTCAACATTTGCAAGAGTTTCACAGCTGGAGGGCGGGTGATCTTCAAGATGTGGCTCTTGCCTTAGCGCCGCGCACATTCGTCTTAAACATTCGCAGGAGTTTCACGGATTGAGGGCGGGTCGTTTTCAAAATGTGGCTCTCGCCTTAGCGCCGCACATTAGTTCACAACATTTGCAAGAGTTTCACGAATTGAGAGCGGGTCGTTTTCAAAATGTGGCTCTCGCCTGAGTACCGCGCACATTCGTTTTGAAACTTTTCAACAGCTTCACGGATTGAGGGCGGGTCGTTTTCAAAATGTGGCTCTCGCCTGAGCGCCGCGCACATTCGTGCTTAAAAGTTGCAAGAGTTTCACATATTGAGGACGGGTCGTTTTCAAAATGTTGCTCTCGCCTGAGCGCCGCGCACATTCGTGTTTAAAAGTAGCAAACGAGTTTCACTGGTTGAGGCTGGATGTCGCCCGGGTCGCTGGGGTCGCTCTGTGGACGGGTCGCTCTGTGGTCGCTCTGGTCGCTCGTGAGTTTACAAGGTTGGATTTCGCCCGGTTCGCTCTGTGGACTATGCCTTCGTTGTTTTGGAGGATCTCTGCACGAAAGCTTGGGAGTGGGAGCTCCCACTGTGGATCGCCAGCATGCCCTGTACTTTTTAGTGCATTGTCCGAGCAGGGAGTCGATGCAGAGTATGTGCGGCTCTTGTCGAACATCTACAGTGCCAAATGGGGACGCGTCAATGGTAACGCAGCTTGTGACATCACGCGCGGCGTCAAGCAGGGCGATGTTTTGTCATCGCTGCTTTTCAACGCTGGCCTGGAGCACGCAGTTCGGAGATTCAAAGCGCGTGCACAGCAGTGCGGCTTCGACGTTGAAGGCGTCAGCCTACTTAGCAACATGCGGTACGCTGACGATATCTTGTTGTATGCACGTTCTGCTGAAGAGGTCACTTGCATGCTGGACATTTTGTCGGAAGAGCTAGCTGCGTGCGGTCTCGCAATAAATTCTGAGAAAACGCGAATCTTTACTGACGACATTGCCGTTTCCAACGTCGAAGAGCCTCTCGTTTTGCAGCTTGCCGGTTGCCAGCTGCCCGTCATGACGTCCCAGGTCTTCCACAAGTATCTCGGCAAGAACTTCGGAGGCGGCTTGCGCAGCAGATCGGCGAGCAATGTGAATTACCGCCTGGAGTGCGCATGGGGAAAAATTCACACTCCCCAAGCCGTGCTTCTGAATAAAGCTATATCTTTGCGCCTTCGTTTAAAGCTTTCTGACGCGGTTATTACACGCCCACCGCGCTGTACGGTCTGTCGACCACAGCCACTACAGCACAGCAGCGGTCACTAATTGCATCAACGCGTTCAAAAATGCTCCGCCATATCGTTGGCTTCAGCAAGCTTCCCGGCGAAAGTTAGGAAGAAGCGGGGAGACGGCGCAAGCAAAAAGTACGCGTTGCTTTGAACATTTCTCCTGTGCCAGATTGGCTTGTCGTGTTGGACCGCTGCACGTGGCGCCTCGCGGCACGAGTTCTCACAAGTGACTCGCATGGATGGCCTTCGCAAGTTATGCGTTGGATCCTGGCTGGAGTCCGACGCCGAGGTAGACCGCGGCGCAAATGAACAGACGCCATCGATTCTTTCTTGCGACAAGAGCACGGCACGAACCTCACGAGAGTTATCCGCAGCCGGGAACGTTTCACTTGGCAGCGGTTGGAGAGTTCATGTCTCACTTTCATGCGAAATGGCTGATGTACCATACATGTGTTCCAAATTCGCCCTATCCGCCACTTTTTTTTGCATTCGCGCTATGTTGCCGTAGTGTCTCGCGCCTTCCGTCTCCGCCTGCGGAGCGAGGTGCCTCCTGGGCTCCTCGACCAGACTTGATTGCCTCTTCTTGCCACTGGATGAGGGCGGGCCGTTTTCAAAATGTGGCTGTCGCCCAAGCGCCGCGCACATTCGTCTTAAGACTAAGTTTCACGGATTGAGGGCGGGTCGTTTCCAAAATGTGGCTCGCGCCTTAGCGCCGCGCACATTCGTTCTCAACAGTTGCAAGAATTTCACGGGTTCAGGGCGATTCCTTTTCAACATGTGGCTCTCGCCTTAGCGCCGCGCACATAATGTTTAAACATTACCCCAGTGCGACCCTACCTAGAAGTTGGAGCCCCTAGGAAAGCAGCATTAATTGCTATGCTATGCTATGCTATGCTATGCCATGCTATGATGCGCTATGCTATGCTATACTATGCTATGCTATACTATACTATGCTATGCTATGCTATGCTGCGCTATGCTATGCTATGCTATGTAATGCTGCGAGGTGCTATGCTAAGCTATGATATGCGATGCTATGCTAAGCTGCGTTATGCTATGCTATGCTATGCTATGCAATGCAATGCTATGCTGCGCTATGCTATGCTATGATATGCTATTCTATGCTATGCTATGCTATGCTTGGCTATACCATGCTATGCTATGCTATGCTATGCTATGCTGCGCTATGCTTGGTTACGGAAGGCACTGCTTGCGGGGGCTCCGGTCCGGCCATCGAGGCTAGCTCGGCATCTGTCGCACATTGTTTTTCCTTTGCCTTTATTTTGCTTTTACTGTTGCTTTGCTTTGCTTTGAATTGCTTGTGCTTTGCTTTGCTGTCGCTGCTGTTGCTTTGCCTTTGCTTTGCTGCTGCGCTATGCTATGCTCTGCTCTGCTCTGCTCTGCTATGCTATGCTATGCTATGCTGCGCTGTGCCATGCTGTGCTGTGCTGTGCCGTGTTGCGCTATGCTATGCTATGCTGCGCTATGCTATGCTATGCTGGGCTATGCTATGATATGCTGTGCTGCGCTATGCTATGCTACGCTCTGCTATGCTACGCTGTGCTATGCTATGCTAAAGCTCGGCGAAGCTACGATGAAGGTAAGCTAAGCTAAACCTGAGCTAAGATGAAGCTAAGCTGTAAGCTAAGATGAAATAAGCTAAGCTAAGATGATATTAGCAACGCTAAGCTAAGGGGACGCAACTGGGGGAACCACGGGGCGGATGCCGGGGGAACCGCCCGGGGCGTGTTCCACTGCCCGGCCCCTTTAAGCTAAGACAATAAGAACCCTTCTAGGCAGAGCCTAGGTAGGGAATTTGCCAGATTTTCACGGGTTCCCATGATCAACGTACCAGAAATAGTGCTTTGAAAGGATTCAGGATCATGCGGGTGCAAGAGTTATGTTGGTTCGCGGTGTTGAAGTCCCTAAAATGGCGTTCTGGCGCGAGTCCAGTTCGTCAGGACGCAGAAGTCAGGTTGATCCGTGGCGTGAAAATTCCGAGAACCATGTGTTGGCAAGCTTCAAGGTCTTCAAACGGTTGTCTTCCAACGAGGCAGTTCCCTCAATGGAAATGAATCCTTGTAGAGGCCTGTGAAGAAGGAGCTTGAAGGGAGGGCTAATTCCAACATCGTTGACGACTCCTGGGTTTACACTGGTCCTTCTCCACCTCCTCCTCCTCCTCCTCCTCCTCATTTCCCTCCCCGATTTCCAACCTACGCGCATTCCCCTCCCCCCATGCCCTTCCTGTGCCCCCCCCCTACACGCATCCTGTTCCACCGCCTTTCCCTCCTCGTCATCACCATCACCATCACATCACCATCAGCATCATCGCGATCACAATCATAGCTCCCCTCTTTGTCGACAGCCCCACGCCATCACACTGCCTGCGTGCCGGTGCGCAGTTCGCGCTTCACCCTGCCATGGCGGCAGGCCTCCGTGCTCGGCGCGCGGCGGTGGATTGGCGGAGCGTGCTCGCCCTCTCCACCTGTGGTGGCGGTGGTGGACAATCGGCCCTGTCAGAAAGAGAGCCGCCGAGCTGGCCGAAGGATTCGCGCGAGGGACGCGCGTCGGCGCCAAGCCCTCGGGCGGCGGGCCCGCTGCTGCTGCCGGCGGCCTCGCGGAGGCCGACTGGCGGGCGGCGCCCGAGGGCCATCGACCGTGCCGCGCGCGCCGGGCCAGCCGACCGTTGCAAGCCGACGCACGCCGCAGCCGTGGACTCCAAGTGGGCGCTGCTGGAGAAGTGCCCCCGGCCCAAGGTGCCCCCAGGATGTCCAAGGAGGCCCCCGCGGCCTCCAGAGCACCCCTCACGAGGCCCAGGGGGGGCCCCAGGGGCTCCCCAAGGGAGCGGAAAGCAGGGGGGGGGCACCCTGGGCCAGGGGCAGCTGTAGCAACCCCCGACTAACGACGCCCCCCACCCCCCACACACACACCACACTCATTTTGGTGGGCATTCTGTTGGATGCACCTCCCGAGCTCTCCGCCGCCTC